ACACATAACTGAGACTGCGCCTTTTAGTACGGACTTATTTTCATTATTTTAGTTTTTTACTTTTGTTTGTGGCACTATAAAATATCTATAGGTGCTATATCATTCTAACTTTCATCTCCATGAATTTAAACCTCATCGTTCTTTTTCAGCCTTTCTTAAACTGCCGGTTTCCATGTCTTAACATTTGCAAAGCAATCTTTGGAGATCACCTGCAACACGCCTTCGTATTGCACATACTTAAAAAATGCTCATGCTATTTAGCACCTATGATTTTGTATCTTTGAAGATAAAAACCTCCTATGAATGAATGCCAATGGACCAGATCCTATATAAAAAACACAAAGGAAGATCGGATATCCATCCAAAAAAGCTAAAAACATCCACTGGACTGTGTGTCCAAGTTTGAAGACGTCTCGCTTGCCATCCAGGAAGCTTTTTCAATTCAAATATCAGAAAAAGCGTTGAGTTGCTTTATACAGTAGCCCAACAAAGCCCTGTCGTTGTTTATACAACATGCAAATTGAACCAGACGAACGGGTCCAACCGTTTTGGAATGTGGGTCACTTGGCGTCTTTTGTTACCCTGCAATGCCCCATACCTATGTTTTGAAAACGGGAAAAGTTAAAGCTTGAGAAAAGCATCCAATTTGAGAGCTGCAGTGATGGCGGCATCATGCTGTAAAGACGCTTTGAGGATTGGTGCACCTCCTCAAAATAGAAGGCATCACGAGGGGCAATCATTGAGGAAATATCAAAGCAACTTACCTGTTTATGTGAAAGGCAGAAACAAAGACAGGTATGGGACATTGCAGGTTAACAAAAGAAGCCAAATTACCCCGATTCCAAAGGGTTGGACCAGTTCGTCCGTTTCTATTTGCATGTTTTCTTAAGAACAGCAAGGCTTTGTTGTGCTACTGTATAAAGCCTCAAAAATCAACGCTATTTATAACATTTTGTATTAAAAAATCTTTCTTTATGGGATGCAAACGTCTTCAAACTTGGAAAGCATGTCCAGTGGATTGTTTTTTAACTTTTGGAATGACTATGACCTGGATGACTGAGAATCTGAACCAGCACCAATAGGATATCATCCAGATGAGATCTAGAGGGACAAAAAAAGAAGCTTTCCTTGAAATCTTTCAATCTTTCTCAGCATCTGATGTATCCTGACACTAAGGCTTTGCTCTCATGTTAGATGATGATCGTCTCCCTCTAGTGGCTCAAAAATTATACAATACTAGTTTGCAGCTTTTCCTAACTACCAGATGTTACTTGCAGCATATTTCCTTCTTTATGTGTTCTGTGTGTTTGCATCATTTATGTATTTGCAACAGCTATTATCCTTAGAGCATTTATGCTTTTTTCCTCTGATTTGAGCTTTTCTCCTCTGACGCATTTTCCTTTTTAATGCGTTTATTATGTTTGTGATATATCATGTATATACACAGGGTTGGCCCTCATCAGCAACCGTACCTCAGAGCCTAAAATGAAATTTGAAAAGGCTGTTGCTTCATGTTCTTGTTGTTTTCAATTTAAAAAACAAAGGTTGCAGGAATTATTTTATTGGGTCAGATTTGAACTTATATTGTTCTTATTTGCAAGACACGTCATCTAAGGAAACTTTCCGGAGCTGATCATTAAATCCGACAGACAGATTAATATTTGTATTTTTTTTATCTAAGGAAAGTATTCACTGAGCTGTTGAATTTGTAGGACTTGCTTCTACTCAATGAGCACAAAGCGACAGTGGAGAGAAAAGCTCTCCCTTAACAGGAAGAAGCCCCCAGCAGAACCACAACCCTGTTCAATGTGAAATGCAGTGCAGAATTGAATTGTGATACCTGACAGATGCTAAAATAATCAATAAAAATTTCAATATGTTTTCACCAAGGAAACTTGGTTGAATTGAATAAAAAAAAAACTTTGCAATTAAAGCCACTTTTCAAACAATACATGTAAACTGTTTCCATAAGCTGAGATGCGCTGCTCACTTGTAGCGACTGCCTCAGGGTTAGCTGGCTCTGACTATAGCGGAAGTTTCACTTCGGCATTTTTCTGAAGAGAAAAATCTTCTCTCCAACACAAACAATCAGTTTGTTCTTCACCTTTTATATGCAGTATTGTCAGAATAAGTATTTTTTTTTTTTTATTGTTTTTAAGTCTTTCCAGTGCAAAAGAAGCTGGGAAATGGGCCTAGTCAAAGCCCTCTGCTTGGTAATTCTTCACTGACCAGTCTGAGCTACTGGACCCCAGCTCTGCTACATTTCCTCCAAAAGATGAGCTGCTCTCATGACCTAAACATGTCCTCTTCTGGTCTGCTTTGCCCTGCACCGGGTTTCTTTAAACTGAATATGAATATTTGAATATTCATATTCCTATAAATATTAGCTCTATTTTATACATTTCTACCAATTTATTTTGAAGTGTTATGAATTGTTGTGATTTTAGTTGAGCAGAACCACATCTAAAATCAGATACTTATAGACACTAAATAAAATAAATAAATAAATGTTGTTTTTTATTGATCTGATATAATATTAAAACCTGTCATGGTTTTGATTCTGTTTTAGTTTTATCTTTGAGTTTTCATTGATTTTATTTCCATTTTGTGGTTCTACTTATATTTGATTGTATTTGAGTTCTTAGATATTTCTGCTTTATCCTCTTGTGCCAATCTCTTTTTCCTTAGCTCCCTTCTAGACTCCTCTGTTCACACCTGCTCCCAATCTGCAGATTAGCCTGGTCTTTGTTTCTCTCTCCCATATATGCACCTCCTGCTGAGTCACTGGTTGCTGGTTTGTTGTCATTTCTTTGCCCTTTTGTTGTGAGTATTTTATGATTTTCAGTGTTTTTGAATTTTCTGGATTTATATTTGTGGAAATTTGCTTCTGTTACACTTTTGTTGTTATATCTGCAAGAAACCACTTCAGCTTCAGTCTCTGCATTTGGCTCCTTTGCAAACTTCCACCCAACCTGACCAAACCTTAAATAAAATGCCTTTTTATTAGCTGTAAACAGAAACTGATCATAACAGAAGCGAAAGCTTAAAAACACCAATCTGTGTGCGACAAATCTTTGTCAAAGAAGGGATTCTACCCAAGCACACAGCTAAAGACCTTGCTATTGGAACTGTTATGGAAATGGTATTCTCCAGAGTTAAAAAAAGTCCTGTACCATCATGGGCTGAGTGATTAAAAACAGCAATGAAAGACAGATTAAAGTTTGCAGATGGACTCGGGGACAAATAGTTTGTTTTGAGGCAGGGAAATGGGAAAAGCTAAAGCTTGAGAAAAACCATCCAATTTACAAGGTAGAGTGGTGGCAGCATCATGCTGTAAAGACGCTTTGAGGATTGGTGCACCTCCCCAAAATAGAAGGCATCATGAGGATCAAACATTCAGGAAATATTGAAGCAACATCTCAATATGTCTGACAAGAAGCTACCTCTAGAAATATAAACCAATAAATGAATCTGACAAATTAATTACCTGTACGACACCGATGCACACGCCGAACACCAGCATGGAGCTGATGTTGTTGCTCAGCCAGTTTTTAGCTGTTTCGTAGCACCCCTGCAACACAACAAACATTGGACAGGTTCTGATGAGAAATATCGCAGGAGGCAGCAGATGGATTAACAAGAAGAACTGATTTATTTTTAAAAATGCACAAAAAAATGTCTACGTCCCAGGGAGAGAAGATTTCACTTTCCCTCTGAAAGAATTAAACTGCTCAAAGCAGCAAAGATGCACGGCGCATCTATTGTTGAAGAAAAAGGTAGACTAAGGTTCTCACAGCAGGTCTTGATGCTCGATTCTGATGGTTTGGTCTGATTGTCAATTCTAATGACGCCACAGCCTTTTGGGGAATTAAAGTAACTGAATTTTGTTGATCTCACATTGGAGAAATTTACCTCGGCATTTAACCCATTCCCTTAGGGAGCAGTGTGGGGATAAGGGTTTTGCTCAGAGAGCCACAGTGGCAGTCTGTGGGAGTGGGGCTTGAACTCAGAACCTCAGGATTCCAAGCTCTAGTCCCCAAAGCAGACATCAGTGTGAAGGGTCTTGCCCAAGTATCAGGACTGGCAGCTCATTCCCCCCTGGGATATGAACCCAGGCTTCCTGTTTGCAGGACGGGTGACTTACCACTTGAACATGTTCCTTGACATTATATATACAGCATATTATATAAACTCATAACCTCAGGATTCCAAGCTCTATGCCCTAACCACTAGGCCACCACTCCCTAAATTAAGACATCTATCATGAGAAACATAGGAATAAGTATGAAATGTGTGCAAGGATTGCTTGTGCTCATTTCACTATATACAAAAGTTTTTGTTCATATAGTGCAGATCCTAAAATGTGTCACTCTTAATTTCAGGCTTTATTAGAGAACATTTCCAGAGCAAGTTGCTTATCCTGATTCAGTATTTGCCTAAATGTAAACATTAAACAGGAAATAATCAATCAAAACATCACTCTGTCTTAACAGTTGCTGATTTATGGAGCTTATCTGTAAAGCAGTTTAAGAGCAGCTTCCAAATCTCAGAGCATTTAACATCAGTTTAACAAATCTGTTAGTGGTTTTCATTTCCTCTTTTTTTACCAAGTCTTTTGTCAAATGTAGGCAATCCTGACTTGATTAAAAAATTTGATTAAAAGGTGCAATTCAGCAACAAAGCATTACATTTAATTCAATTAATTTAATTTACAGAGCTTTAATCTATAGCAAATGCCATCTCCAGGAACGTTGCAGAGACTTTCCATCCAAGGAAACACAGTTGGAGTCATTGAGTCATTGACTTTGCAGGATTCGCTCCTCCTAGATGAGCATGTAGGAACCACAGGTTTTGTATCGTTGTCTTAGAGCAATCCCTCACACAGGGCATGCATGCAACAATAGGGGAGAAGAAAAAACTTCCTTTTACCAGGAAGATCTGAATGTGCTTTACTGGAGGCATCCATGTTTGTCAAAGAACACTACTGCCACCTACTGGTTAGTGAAGTCACGGTG